AAATCTCCATCAACTGCAAGATGCTATCCTATGAATATGGGCCAACATTTCTAAAGGACTGCCGCATACTGGATGTTTTTCCCTTTGCACACCATTCTTTGTAAACCCTAGAAATGGTTGTGCGTGAAAATCCCAGTAACTGAGCAGATTGTGAAATACTCAGACCGGCCCGTCTGACACCAACAACCATGCCACGCTCAAAATTGCTTAAATCACCCTTCTTTCCCATTCTGACATTCAGTTTGGAGTTCAGGAGATTGTCTTGACCAGGACCGCACCCCTAAATGCATTGAAGCAACTGCCATGTGATTGGTTGATTAGATAATTCAATTAATGAGAAATTGAATAGGTGTTCCTAATAATCCTTTAGGTGAGTGTATATATATATATATATACACACTCCAATATCAAAAAGTATCAATGTTTTTGCTGCCCATCCTATGTCGAAACAGGGGCTAATGACACAATCTTGACTGATGAGTCAGATTATTTCCTCTGAAACAGACTTGTTAATAAAAGTCATGCTAATACCATAACGATTTTAATCAAAGGACCACCAGTACCTTTCTATTGAACCTGCAGAGGAGATCAACAGGGCAGACTGTAGTTATATCCGTCACTATCTGGCAGGAGTATAATAAATGTGACTATAATAAATATGACAGGCTGCTCACTGTGCATTTTAGCTGCAGTGAAATTATTTACAATGCAAAATCATTTGAGAAACTAATGCAAATGAAATCCAAAGAGCCCATCAGCATTAAGAATGAACAGAACCGTAAGAGGTGCTGCTGTGTATCATAAAACACTAATCATTTATCATGGTCCTTCGGGCCAAATTCCAGATGCAGAGTTTCCAGCTGTGACCTGTCCCTCCTGATACCAGAGGAGAGACTCAATTTACTGGGGATTAGCAAAGGACTGGGATGAGCAGTGGGCCTTCAAATATACCAAACAAATTCTCCCTCTGCTAGTAGAGCCAGCTTGGACCAACAGCAGGGACAAAATGACCCAGGAAATCGCTAATACTAATAACCTCCATTTTCTGGTGATACAGTTGACTGTTTATATCCTAAACTCCTCTTTAATCTTGTCAGGCCAGAATAGGTTTCCTTTGTCAGTTAGTTTATTTTATCACAGCTTATAATTCGTTCCTTTCTTCCTAGGAAATACCGATAGTTATACTTAACACCATGCAGAACTTAGGCTACACACAATATTGTAGTGAATAACAGATGTTGCTTTAGTTATTTTCGCTCGGCTTTTCCTGGATTTTTATTAATCAAAAGCTTTCTCTTGTTTTCAAATTCCTGTATTCTGCATACATCTTTGTTAAACAGTAGGCTACTAGAGTACAACATTACACAGCATGTGACCATGTCTATATCAAGGTTCCAGCTCCGTCAAGGCATTGTAAGACTCACCATGAAATGTTCAGGCAATCCTGA